GTCAAAGCGTCACGTCACCAGTAACCACCGACCAGAAGACATTTTGAAGGGGGTCAAAGGGTCTCATGCGCTGGCGTCGTACGGCAAGCACGGTAAAGTCCATGAGATATGTAGTGTGCCTCTCTTCACCCCAATTTAACCCTGTACGTCACTACATTTTCTCCAGCAAGAATTTGACGGCGAGTAAGTCTTCTTCAACGCAAGTGAAAAGAGAGTTGGTGACAACCATGGCAGAACAAGATCGAGCTGAGGCCATTTCCCGAGCCCCGTTCATAAACTCCATCATTGGTCATCTCTTAGTCGGAAAGGTTTACCAAGGTTTTGGAAAAACTCTTTCCCCCTTTCCCTTTCCCTTTCCCATCCCCCCCTCGTCTGTATCAATAAACTACAAAGAAGGTTTCTTCAAAGAATAAGCCTTGAGACGATTCCCGACGGGTGAGAAAAGAAAGACGTAGTTAAAACCACCCGAATCGGGGGAACAAAAGTGAGTGCTGGTTAGCAAGGTTAACCTTCCCTCGCCTCTTCGCGCCCAAGAGGTTCGACCGACGTTTTGGGCTTCTTCCCGGCAAGAACCTAGTTGCAATTATTCCAAACAACCAACAACCTTCGCAGAGCCGCTGATGGGCCCTACCTTTCTTACCAATCAAGTGGGATACCGTGTACAAGGCAAAACTCACAATGCGCCGAATTCGCTGAGCAGCACGCGAGAACGAACCGAACGTTGGGGATGGATGGATGGATGGATGATGATGACGCTGCCTCGACCGCGCCTCGGTACATAGCATCTAGTATCACACCCAAAAGCGATCTCGGACGGCCAAGAGCGCGGATGCTCTAGGCAGTCACTACTTTCCCCCACCTTCTCATCGATTGCTAGGCTCTCTCCTTGCTGTGAAGCTGGTGCTACACGATGCCGCCTCTTCTTGTATGCCATGACCCGCAGAGGAGGGCAAGAAAACCGACCGATTCCAAGACGTGAACGGATCACAACGAGCTTTGAGAACAAGCTTAGGTCACCTGGAGAGATGGTTCAGGCAAGTAAACTAGGCTGAAGCATATGTAAGCTAAGGGGTCTTTTGAGGCGGCGGCGGCTTTCTCGCTCTTTTCAGTATCATGGTTCGCGATTCCTTGGGTCCTGGGTTCTTGAGGTTCCCAGCGCCGAGTTAGCGCCGGTGTCAAGTTCAAGTAAGGCGTCGCGCGAGAGACAGAGAGACAGATAAAGGTTTCTGGTTCTTCTGCGGCTCTCTGGGGCTTCCCTTGTATTGCATGAGGTAGGTGCGTTGTGCTTGTGTGCGTTTCTGGACGCGGGAACAGGGCAGTACATTCAAAAGAAGCGGAAAGTCAATCCTTGATCGAGAAAAGAAGAGACAACCTTGAACCTGTGGCCCTTTTTCGGGGGGGAGTTTCAAGAAAAAAAAAGTTGGTCCAAAGAGAAACGGACGGTGCTCGGGGACGAGTCTCGGGGAACCCTTGCTTGAAGAGGCAAACGGGTTCGTGCAGCCAGCCTTCATCGACATGGCATGATGTAGTCTCTCCCACATCCACTGATTTATTTACGTCTACTTGGGTGCATTCAGCCTCGACTATGATATAGAGGAGGAGGGGGAGAGAAGGATTCAAGAAGAAATGGTGAAGACCTGCAACTACAAGCGCCGAATCTGCGAGGACATATGTATACCATTCTACGCATCCATGATGGGAAAAAAAGACAGGTCTCGTCAGCAGCGGTGGGGGCACGTGCATCATGCAATGGAGATTCGGCGAAGTATTGACCTCAAAAGCTGGGACATTGTTTGCTTGCCCTCGCGTATGGTTTCTCAACCAGGGTGTGGGTGATTTCGCACCATGCTGTGCCACCGTGACGAGACAATCTGAGGCTTCGATGAGGCAGGACAGCCAACTCTACCCACTCTCTTTCGCTCATCATGCTGGCAAGGAAGACGAAGCTGCAAGATAGTTGGAGCTGGATAGACTGGCAGCGAGAAAGCGTTGACCTGGCCTCTAGGGCAAGGTCGTCCGATGCAGACGGGGGAAGGGCAGCAGGCATCAAATATGGGAGACAACCCGACAGCTTTTTTCAGCCCATGGACTTTGGCAGTGACCCCCTCCCATCCTTGGACTTATTTGTATCGTGTTACACGACATTGACCATCTATCTCACTGGCATCTATCTCACTGGCATCTATCTCACTGGCATCTATCTCACTGGTAAATGTTGAAGCCGAGCGAGCGGCTAGAGAGGATGGGCAATCGAGATGGCGTTGCCAGGCGATGCGGCGAGGTCAGATTTGGTATGGCCCTTGATGTGTAGTGTGCCGTTGCGTTTCTTTGGTGGGTGTCAAGTGCTCAGTCACCACCGGCATAGAAAGAGTTATCGGTTTGCGCCCGTGGTTTCGTGACTGGCCGATTCTCGGTCACACTGGAGAGGAGAGGAGCCTAGGAAGAGCCTTGACTTCCATGTGCCTGTTGACCACACGTAGAAGAGTGCCTTACGTTGCAACGTCGTTGGTACTAACCCCGCCCAGCACAGTATGACAGGCTGACAAGCGTGCCTCGCAGCTCGAACGGGAGAAGCCAGCCTTGCGTTGTCGCCTGAGAGAGAAAATGGGGACCATCTTCATGGAGGAAGGCGTTGTCGGCTGTGCCGCTGGCTGCCTGTCCTTGACTCGCGGTTCGCAAATTGCCGCGCAATCATTCTAGTGTTTGCTGCCCTCAGCCTGCCAGGATGGCGAGTGAAATCGAGGGAAGACTTGCTGATGTTTGCCACGTAGGGAATCGTTGTCGAAATTCCCAAGGCCGTTGGTTTGGCTCCTCCTTCCCGTGGGCGGCGAGATCCCTTTCCACGGGAGCGTATCCAGTCATGGCAGTGAAAAGGGTCGCGTGGCGTCCCTGTTGGTTACTTTGATGACAGGTATGCTTGATTGACGTCTGAGCGGACCGCAGATGTATGGACGTGACCAGAACGGCATATTGGGCCCGGCCAGGTAGGTAGGTAGGTAAGGTAGGTTAGTCAATATCCGAGGGTTAATGTGAGAACGAACGGGTTTCTGGGGAGTTTGAGTTCAGATGCCACCTGGGCGATGCCGAAGCTAGTATGACCGTTGTGACATGATGCAGTAGTCGGCTGCGAGCTACTTTAGATGGTTCTTTTCTAACAAAAGATATCGCGAGAATTTGGAGTTGATGGCTGTCAAATGATCAATGGAAACACCCCTGTGATAGTCGACGATACAACGTCGAATCACGTTTAACGATTTAGGGTCGGCCGCCGGAAGCGGGCCGGAAAGACTTTGTACTGTACATACAGGTTCCACGGGAGAATTGTGAATCGGACCATGGAGTGGGTCTAGATTGGCCCTCGCTTAAGTGGGGTGGGAATGAAGGAGGGTTGCAAGGGAAGGGACGCAGGTACAGTGTCGGCACTGTCCTCCCGACTGGACAGTGGGCGGTCACTCACGTCGCAGTGTATCACTTCCATCTGTGAGGTGAGGGCAGAGGAATCTCAGACTGAACCGGGCACAAGGCAGGAAACAGCATTGGGAGAGGGAAAGTGGGACCTTAAGAGGGGTCATAATTGGCCATGAGATGAGAATGACGAGGACTGGGGGCAGGCATTGACAGGTGGGGCCAGGTGGACAGGGAGACATCAGACACTGAGCCAAGGGTCGAGGACACAGAAGGCATGCACACGGAGGTCAAGGACAAGGGCAGGAGGGAATGAGATGAGTGAGACTGCGTGCTCCGTCAGAGGTTACTTCCAGTCTGCCACTGGTGCTTTGTCAAGTTAGTCTGGCGCGGTCCCGCGGGCGGAATCATTGCCCGCTGTTGCAGTGACAGAGTGGCTCAGTGGGCTCTCCAGGTTCTCCCAGACGGAAGGTCGTGCTCGCAGTGGGCTCAGGAAACCCATCGCCCGCAACCCGCGGTCGGCTATACTCAATACTGTGTATCCGTAGGGAAGAGAGACGCTCAGGCCGCCGGGTGAGCGACGATTCCCATAAAGGCGACTCCATTGTGCCAGTCTCGATTCTGAAATGGCCCATCGTCGCCATCCTGGACAGATGGGAAAAAACAATGGGGATGGCAACGATATTCCAGGGAGTTTTGCAGGCTCGAGCCAACGCAGCCAACAACGACCAACGCAGGGCTCCCAAGGACATGACCAGCACCCGCACCCACTGGAGTCTCTACCGGGGATCAACGGACCGCTGCTGCCCCGTCTTCCCCTTGAGTTCCTCTCACTCTCGTTCCCAGAACCTCAACCGGGGCTTGAGGCTTCAGCCAGGTCCAGGGCTGCTTGAGCGGCGTTCCTTCCGCACACTCTGATAGGCAGGTCTTCACCCATTCACTCACTCACTCACTCGCTCTCACTCCCCCACTCATCAACCACTCTCATCCCCGAGCTTCACTCACCCACTCATCCACTCAAAACTCTCAGGTCCAGACTCAAGACTCCAGACTCAGACTCAAACTCAGACTCAGACTCTTCGGGCTCTGCTCTGGACTCCAGACGTCGCATATGCGCCTCACCAATAAGCACAAGTTTAACGGATAAAATGTGGATCTGTACTGTTTCTCGTCTCTTTGGGATGGCAGTTACCCGATGCTGTGGATTGCATAACCAACCCAAGACACCTCCTCATTCTCTTTGACCACTCACCTCATCTCACTTAGCTCCCGAAGCTATGGTCCTGGACACGATGGACAAAGCGTAACCCCCCCCCCCCCCCGAGACCCCCTACCTACTGCGTATGCTCCTCTTCCCCCATCCTCCCTCCCTCGCCTAGCTTCCACGTCTATGGCACTGGAAGTGGCAAAGCAATTTAGCCTCTAGGCTTGTTACCTTCACGTTTCTTACCTTACGGTACGTGCCTGCCACCTGCTTACCTACCCTTCGCTACCACCTTTTTTGCACCTCGCGTCTTTGGATGGCACGATGGCTTGGTCTCTGCATTCTCGCCTCCGTTCCGACCAGATTTGCTTCCCGTTTCTGTGCGGCGCGGATGTTCAAAATACATCTTCCCAAAGACAGAAAAAAGTGCTTGCACAAATGGGAACTTTTCCTTCACACCATGCCACGCCAGAGCATAACCTCAACCAACCCCCCGATACCCGGCATCGTGGATATCGGGAACATTAATCGTAGGTTTTTACGGCTGTACCGCAACGCATTTCATTTCAACTTCCTCTTCAAAGCGCCGCCCGGCCAAAGCCCGAGAAAGACGGGATGAATCCGTCATCTCTTGGCAACTTTACCATTCGGTCCCGACGCATCCACTCTATCCCCGCCCAAGGCCAAGGCATTCGTCAACCGTGGGTACCAAACAATGCCAGCCTCAGAATACCTATGCGTCCCTTAACCGTACATCGTTGGCTTTCGTCGCTCATTCGCTTCAGTGCCTAGTTGCCGCTGCCTTTTCCATCGCCAACAGGCTCAAAGACCACGGGTATCTTTTGCCCTCTTTACACAGTATCCTACTTGCGACACGGACAGAAGCGTTTCGCTGTCGGTCGATCGGCTGGCCGGCCTTGGGTCGCAATTGCAGATCTTGGCAGCAATTGTGCAACGCATTATCCACTTTATACTGAATCTGTACAGATACGGGTCCGCATGCTTTACTACCGTCTGCCTTCAGCCCTTCAATTCACCGTCTGGCCCCCATTCAGTGACGCTGCACAAGTTCACGACTGCCAAGCCTTGGGGGCTTTCTGTTCATTCAATGGATGGGAAATGGGAACGACTGACTAGGTACTGCCATTGCTTCGAATTCCATTGTCTATGGGTACGTCGAGGATTCAAGTGCTCGACATGGTCGGAGGCTAGAAGCAATTGCCTGCCGGGCCTGGATATTCATTCCGAATCTTTCGTACGAGCCTGTGAGGGTACGGAGTAATCGACACACAGTGTACAAATTCCCTACAGTCTGAACTTGGAGACTGGGGTTTATCCACCTGCCCATCCTGCCATCCTCCACAGTCCCCCGTCTGCCCTGACCTTGACCACTCTCAATTCGACCTCTCGCCCGCCAATGCCAACAGTATTAAATCTCCCCGGTGGAGCCCATGGGAACTCGGTAGATGCTGATCACTCGGAAAGGTCCTTGGCTAGCGCCTCGACTGATTCAGTCTACCTCGGAAGCCCGATGCTTCCCTTCTATGCTTATTTTTCGTTTTTCACCAAGTTGAGATCCAAGCACCACGCACCAAGTTTCCCCCAAGTATACGTACGGACAGGCGTACAGATACCTACGGCCGGGAGGCCCGTTTTCCAGAGATAAACGCTGTCGCACTCACGACTCAAGACTCAAACTTGCTGTCACGGCCCATGTTCATTTGCTGGCTATGACCCACCATCCGTCAAGAAACTCTATTACTACTCTACATTCGACGGGCAGCCTCGACGATGACGCAAATGCAGTGTCTGCCGCGCTAGGTCGTCAGTCGCGGAAACCCCATTCATCAAGAAGACCGGAAACGGTTGTTCGGGTACTACGGCGTTTCTCTGGGGCCGAAGGAAAAGTTGTTGCTAACCTGAGAACTTTGGCCGATGTAGACTGGAGGCAAGCCCGATCCGAAGCAAAGACTAAGACAGCACTTCCAAAGCTTGCGTTTGGCTTTTTCTAGTCTTTCTCGGACAATACCGATGGGACGGGTGCTGCCACGAGCCATTGACCAAATTGTCCGAGTTCTTTTTGGCGGTCAAGGCTGCTCGAGCCTCGAGAAAAGGCAAATACCTGGGCCAAGGTTGTAGGCCATCCGATGTCCACAGACCTCGGGCAGTTGAGAGACAGCACTTTGGGTAACGCCCGCACCCAACGTCATCGTTCGACTTTGCCCACCGTCTCCATCCAGCTCAGTCAGGGCAACGACGCGCCGTACCGGCATATCAGAGACCATTTTTGACTCCCGCTTCGCTTCTGTGGTTCAACATAAGCAAGCCAGCTCTGTCAAATGCACTAGGCATGAACGTGGATAGAAGGGCACTTGGGTATTTTGACGTCGAAAGCCAGAAACAGACGGCTCATGTGCGTTGTACGCATACATGCGGCTAGTATCTGGATCTTGACGGCTACCTGAGCTTCGCGATATGCCGGCTGGGCGTGTCGCACGGCGGCACGACATGCCACCAAGGTGGAAGGTTGAACGCAGAGGGCCGCTGTTGAGGAGGGCGATGACAAGCATAGAGTGTTTGGCAGCTGTGGCCCGCACCAGAATGCGGCAAAAACGTCTCATCTTCTTTTGTCGGCGGCGACAGAAGCACAGGTGGGATATTTCGAAGCGTTCGAAGCATAGCCATCTATCCAGCGAGAGCCGTACCTTGAGGATCGCTATGAGCCAGGTCTCGAAGCGCACACAGAATGTCTCACCATGAAGGGCATCGCTTACAGCAACAGTTGTACACAATCTTTTGGCGTAACCTTGGCGCAACCTTGACGCCTACGGATACTCACAACCAACAAGATGACTGTATTTGTACAGTTAGACTGGTGTGTGCTCTCCTTACGGCACTCTACTGTTATACGAGTGTAGAGCACTGCCTCTATCATATCCGGAGGTGGCCAAGCAAGCACACCTCTTCCCCTGCTCTTGGAAGCGCAGTCACCCTTCTCGCACTGTAGTTGCGACCCAAGTGACAGGCCCCTCTGGCCGAGTGATGAGGTTGATTGGGAGCGTTTCTCAAATCCCGGCAACTCTGGCTTGGTTAGCCTCTTGGCACACATCTGAGCCCGCAATGGTGGCGAGCAGGGATGACGAGAAGGGCTGGGACAACACTCGGACCCGGATTGGCTCAAGCAGTGTCAAGTGGATACAGATGGGGTCGGAAATAACGAATGAAGAGGTCCAGTGTGATGGAATCGAGCCACATTGCGCGAAAGCCGAGAGCGGCACAATGGCCAAGACTCCCAAAGATGCTCTCCTAGGGTTGCAGAGTCTGAGTCTGTCAGAGGAGAAGCCTGGCGGCACACTTACTGCGTACATGCTGCACCACCATTCTCCTGCACCTAACGACTGCAAGCTGCAAACGCAGCAGCAAGACGAACAAGAGATCCCTGAACTGGATGGGCGGGTGAGGGCCGCGCTCGGGTAACTAAGAAGGGCAAGAGGGAGCTCCACGAATTCGCAGTTCACTTTTCAATGATGGTCCATCTGTTTATGCGCCTCTGCCACTTATTCCTGGAAGGGTGGCCTGGCCTTGTCATGCCTGCTCAACAGCCGACCAGTGAGAGATCAAGTCCACAGGAGGAAACAGTGGACAGTGGAAGGCTGACTGTACACACAGAACGAACCAGTATGTGAAGAAGAAGTCCGAAAGAAGTTGTGAGCACGAGAAATTACCACCATGGTGAAGATTCGCATGACCGGACGTACCTCGGACCAGACGCGCCTCAATGCTGCTCACAGACTGCTTACCGTCCTCCAAATGCCACCAGCATCAGCACCAGCAGCATCGTAAGGCAAGGCCACAGACAGATCTGTCCTCGCTCTCGAAGGCAAACCCGAGACTCCGGCTCTTTGTGCGTTTTTGGGTGGGTACAGCACTGACTTTCGGTGGCTGTCCTGAACTTCTGGCACGGCCGAGGCAAAAGCAAAGGTTTTCCTTCTGCCCTGCCACGGGGATGGTCCTAAAACTTTACCAGTCGCCTCTAGTGAGAGACAAGTCCAATAACTGGTACGCACGCACGGCACGCTGCCATGAACCACAAGGCCGGAAGAGATGGGCAGTGACGATCACTCATTCTCGTTGAAGCAACTGGTAATCAGCCAAACCTTGCCGTAAGCTAGGCAAAGTATCCTGCATCAGCCACGTAAAGTGCAATTTGGTCTCCTAACATTTCAACCAGACCTGTGCAAGGCCATCGATCGTTGGGATCGATTGATATTAAGTGTAGTCTCGACAATAATCCCGACAACAATCCCACAACATTCACCATGCCCGTCGATATCAGCCGCCACGTCCAGTTGGACCACATCGGAGAATCCGAGAGTTACGAGGACAGGCCGACGCGGTCTGGCTCGAGGATGTGGTATGAGTTGAAGGTTCTGCAGCAACCTGAGCGTGCGCGTGCATGCGGATCTGGTCAGAAGTGTAAGAGAGCTTCGATGTCCCTCAACTGCTTGTCGTTGAATTGCTTCTGACCTTCATTATTTAGCCGCGGCCGATAGACGCCCCGTCGATCCTCCCCCCGTGGTGCAGTTGCACGTCTACGAGGGACCTACCAGAGCCGAAGCTACCGATATCACTTTCAACTACCGGGCCAACTTCTTCCTCTATGCTGAGCTGACACCCGCGCGCCCCATGGCTCATGGACGCGTTCAAACTCCCGCGGCAACTTCACCTCCCGTCCTGACTGGCATGCCGGTTTCGGGTATGGCATATCTCGACAGGCCTACAGAGGCAGGCTACTTCCTGTTCCCCGACCTTTCCGTCCGTCATGAGGGACGCTACGTCTTGGCCTTCCACCTATACGAAGATGTGAAGAGGGCGGAGGATCGGGAACCGGGCGGCGACGCGGATGATGAGGATGAGAACCCCTGCTTCCAATACAGAATGGCTGTCAAATCGGTGCCATTCAACGTCTTCAGCGCAAAGAAGTTCCCTGGTCTTACCGAGAGCACCAACCTGAGCAAGACCATCTCTGAGCAGGGATGTCGCGTGCGTATTCGCCGTGACGTCCGCATGCGAAGACGCGACGGAAAGCCGACTGGAAACGAGTTCGACACCAACCCCGAAAACGAATTCAGGAGCACGGCCAGGAGAACACAGACGCCAGAGATTCGTAGCAATGCGGAACAGTATCGTGCGAGGTCGACGAGTAACAGCAGCGAGCACCGCGCCGCGTACCCGCCTGCTCCGGAACGCAAACCATCTCTCATTGAGAACTTCAAAGCCGAGACTTTCCAGGCGCCGCCACCGCCGCCGCCGCCCATGTCATACGGCCCGGCCCCCTCCACCAACGTTCACCTGCGATTCGGATCCGATGCCTCAAGTGCACCCTACCCTCCTCACCAATACGCGCAACCTTCGGCGCAGCCGCCGCCCATTTCTCCTACCACGGCCTCGTACCAGTCTCAGCAGCCCTCGCCTTATCAACCCGCAAGCTACGGCTACTCGAGCAGACCCAGCTCCCAGTATGCCTCGAGCAATCCGCCTCCCACGCCCCACGATTCGTACGACAGACGGCCATCTGCCATGATGGTGCCACCTTCTCCTTCTGTGTACGGTCCGGGACCAAGGGACCACGACATGGCCAGGCGCGATTCGGACTACAGGAGAGATTCTCTTCCTCCTCGCCAGCTTGCTCCAGTTTCCGATCTGCCGCACATGGGCACCAAACTCCCGCCTATGCTGCCCTCCATCGAGAAGCTCACTGCTCCTCCCATGACGGGCCGTTCAGAGTTCATCGAGGCTGCTCCTCCTAGCTCTCACAACCCCGTTTACGAGCCAGCACGTGCAGGCACCAAGCGTGGCTACGGAGACACCTTCATCGACAGCCAGCGCCCCTTGTACGACAGGCAACGCCCACAGGATCCTCATCACAACAGCGCTCACTACAACCACCGCTACGTTGTGCAAGATCCTCTCGAGTACAAGCGTGCCGACGGTACATTTGGCGTGAAGCCGGCAAACGATTACTACAAGATTGTCAACCCGCAATGAGGTTCCGGTGCACTTGCTTGACGGCGTTTCGGCGGCTTCGTATTAAGGGCGGTGGTATTTTGCATCCAAGCGTTCTTGGGCAATGGGGCGTTTGAAGGATCGGAGACAACTTTTCGAATTGTATATACCAACCGGGAGTCAGTCATCATTTACGGCACCCCTCGGAAACCAAGTTTCTTTCCCTATGTTCCTCCCAACACTCTCTCTACGATCTTGATGGCCGTTTTACTTGGCCACGAGCGATCATCTTTACTTTCCTACCATGTCTTACTTGATCATGATTCAGACTGGAATTGAAAACGAAACGACTTTTCGATGTTCACGAAGACAGGCACATCTGAGTGAGCTTTAATGTGTCATTGGTCTTGCTTTTATTATTTCCTTGTGTCTAGTTGGGCAGGAGTACTGCATGGATTGATAGTGGGTTGTCCACTGTGCCCCGTGGGCAACGGGGACAGTTAGTTTAAACTTTTGTATAGGAAAATGGGAAAAAGGTTCAAATGCTCAAAGACGCTACCGATACTTTACCTATCCTTTCTCGTGACGTTGACAAGTGACGTGAGGCTCTAACAAGACATGAAATGAGTACGGCTCCTATGAGAGATAAGCCCTACGAAGTGACCATCTCGGATGTGTGTGTTGCGATACAACATTGTGCTTGCGTCAACGCCGGATTCCCTCAGCTTTGTCGATCTCAATGTCCCAGTAGCGTGAGACGGGTAAGATCTGAGTACTAAGATAGCTTGAGAGAACAGGTGCATGGGATATGTGAGCCGTAGCGTGCTGCGTGCGTGCGTGGCACGATCAAGCTAGATTGACAGCACCAACGGACGTAAATAGACAACAAGCTAATGTGTGAGAGAGAGGAAGGGTGAGATGAGATGAGATCACGGGAGAGAGTCTGAGAGACAGAGGTGGTCCTCGTACGGAATATGCCTTGGATGTAAGGGAAAGAGCACCAGGTCCAAGCGTCACGTGGCCAATGCTCCTCTCGGCCAGTTTTTAAGGTGAGGATGGCGAGGATGGCCCGGTGAAGGGCAACGCGCCAAGTGGAGTCGCATCTTGCGCGTCCAGGGACGAATGGGATAAATGTGGGCGCGTTTTGTTTGCCCGAGCAACGCAGCAACGGCCGATTCCACCTTTCGCGGCCCCCAGTTGCCCATTCTGGCCCTTAGTTCGGGGAACAGCAGCCATCAGAGGTCAGCAACCCCGGCCGACATTGGACCATTTGCGGGTCTTTCCCCCCCAAAAAATCGCACTACCCCTGGCTCTCCATTGTTGGTTGCCGTTGCCCTTCCAATACGTTTGGTACTACGAGATCAACACGCCTCCAACCAAGCCCATCACGGTTCGTGACTTCTGCGCGTACCGTTAGCTTAGCTTAGCTTACCTTGCCTTACTTTCTTCCAAACTTCGTCCTCGCTGTATCTTCTTCCCTCTCCCCCTTTTCAGCACTCTTTCACTCTTCCATCCCCACTCCACACTGCAACAATACTCGAACTCTCATCATCCTGAACACGCCTCATTGTGCCTTCTCCTCTGCCATCTGTGCAGGGAAGAAGCCCGCGACGACAGAGAGGTTGCGCCGCGTGCCTGCGCGGATGCGGAGCGTGGCAGATGTAACGACAGAAAAGTAAACAAAAACCCTTTCGGATGCCGCAGCACCGCATCGCCCGACAAAACCTTCCCCTCACCTTTGCGCTCATCAGGGTCTGACGACAGCTTCCATTACGTCTTTCCCCCGGTTCAACAGACCTCAAGTAAAGAAGAACAGACGAAAAAAAGGTTGGATTTCGGCTGTCAACCCACACGGCAAGAAACTCAATCACCCAAACCCCCTTTCTGAACAAAACATTGGACCAAAGCACAAACGAAACAATGCCCATGTCAACAATGGAGGACCCGTCGGCGCCTGGTCCGCTGACCTCCCACCCGATCGCGGGCCCTCCGTCAAGCAATTCGACGTCCAACGGCCAGCGACCCGCGGCGAAACGATCAAACTCGTCGGTGCAGCGCGCCAATTCCCGCTTCGTCGAGGGTTCAATGAACGACCGTACCTCGGCTGCGCCACCAATCGACTTCCTCGGCCCCGAGGATTCGACTGAGATTGCCCGCCGTTTCCACATGGACTTTTACGTCGACGCACCCGACGCTGGTGTCTTCTCCCCTGAGAGACTTCGGCAGCAGCAACATCACCAGCCGCTACACCAGCAGTCCCAGCCACTTCTACACCAACCGACAATCACCTACGGCGAAGTTAAGAGACCCGCCAGTTCGGCTAGCAGCCACGTCGGGAAGAAGGGTTTCTGGGGCGGCCTCCGCGAGAAGCTGAGCTTCGTCAGGGACAAGGATAAGGGGGCTAAGCGCCCACTGAGCCTCGATGGCAAGCTCCTTGCTCAAGGAGGCGGGGCTGGAGGCTTCGGCAGCAGCAATGGTAACGGCAACGGCCTGGGCCCCATTGGCGCGCCGACCGCCGCCGCGATGCCTGCACATTTCGCGAGCGGCGCGGGCATGCCCAGCAGAGACGAGATCATGGCCAGCTACCAGCAACTTATGAAGGACGGTTTCTTTGATGCGCATGCTATCCGCTCCACCCGCCAGCCTCCCCCGCCCTCGTTCAACCCCTCGACCACCACATACTCGACCAAGCCTCCCACGGACAAGAAGTCCTTTGCCGAGCGTGTATCGGGTCAGTGGCCTCTCCCGGCGACTGAGGAGGTTCAGCCTTTGCCAGATTCGCGCGACGGAAACAGGAAACGCGGCATGGACAATGACGAAGATATGTCGGCAGCCAAGAAGCTGCGCAAGTCTGCTTCTCGTATGTCCGTTGACCTCTCGATCCCAGGTCTCCGCAAGCAAAGGTCTCACGCCCAGTCTGCCTCGGTGGACATGCCACCTCCCAATTACATGCCGCCTCCGCCTCCTCCTAACTACATGCCTCCTCCCCCGCCTCCCCGCGCTGTCGGTGGAGGTACTGTTTTTGTTCGCCGGTCGTTTAGTAGCTCGAACCGCGCAAGCAATAAGCTCGCCAAGCACCAGCCCTCGTCCTCTCTCGGCCCCATGCCCATGGACACGGACTTTACGCCCCCGAATCCCTCCTACGCGGCTAGCACTCGCAGTAGCATCGATTCCAACGACTCGAGGCGATCCTTCCGCGAGGCAGCTCGTGCCTGGACTTCCCGAACCGCCCGCAAGGCAGCCGAGCCGCTGGGCCTGAGGCCCAACTCGAACCACGGCGCGGCGGCCATGCAGTGCGGACCCGAGCAGTTTAAGAACCGCGGGTTCGGTTGCGAAGGGGAGAACTATGGCGTTGCGCAGGAGCGCGAGCTGCCCAGCCGGTGGAGGGGTTTGACGCGATTCACCTAAATGGGCAAGCGAAGTGTTTGCTGTCCCTCAATGGTGGAGTTTGCAATTGGCAAGACACGATCATGGTCATTATCACCATGGTCTGCAAGACTTATGGAGAGTGGAGGAAGCATGGTGTTCAATAGAGACACCGGGGCCTTTCTGGACGAGCTTTACGACTTTTAACGACATGAAATGACCTTTTTCTTTTACGAAATCAGCATCGACCGCGCAGTACGACTTTGTTTTGATCTTGGCGAATGGTTCTCGAGTAGGCGAAGACGCCACATGACCTCCCTGTCTCAATGCCTGCAACGTTCATCACGGGGCAAACAGCAGAAGACGGTCCAAGCGTTAGTAGTCTAAGGGCAGGACTTGAGCCGGGGATTATGGACTCGGAAAAGACGATCAACGGTGTGGAAAGCAGACAAAAGAAATGGGGAGGGGATATGAGGGAGATAGGAGCCAAATGATTCCTTTCCGACTGGGATCTTTGGCTTGACCGTTTTACCCTGATGATTTCGCGTCTTGTAGTTGAGGAAGCTCTTTGTTTCTTTCTCACTTTCATGTATGTAGTCGACATCTGCGGTCCTTGCCCTTTTCTTCCCTGTCTTTAACTATCGGCTTGCTACGTATCTCGGAAGTTTGCCAATATTGGGATGGGAGGAGGGGAAAGATGCAATGATGTCTTCTTTTTTCGGGCGTCATCTTGTGATGCTGACGCGCATGTGTCGATATTGAGGGGATTGGAATGAGTGAAATCTGGAGTTTCATTTTGAGTTTTTGTGCTGCAGTTTCTGGGAACGCGGCTCGAGGAGTAGATGTTCCTTGGCTTGGTAACACGGGGAGGAACGGAAAAAAGGCGAAGCGTTTTGTGGAAAGTAGTCGAAGCTGGCAGATGTGGCGAAGACTGGAGACGATTGTGTCTTGGTCGTGGGGAAAGGTTTTCGTCTTTGCTGCGTACTCTGGCTTTGGTGATGGATACAAACAATACAGCCTCTTTTCTGACCTGCTTATTGATGAACTACTGGATGCTTATGCTTGGCTGCTTTCGTGATGTGCGGGGGATGGGTTTGTGTAGGTTTGGGATTTGGCAGCGAGGCGTGCTGAGGCGCTGAGGTTTGGGAAGTGGATATACGGAGTAGCTCGTGGCTGAGGGGAGTAGAGAGAGAGGTCCTCCGTCTGAACAACTCAAGGTGAGATATCTACATCAACAGGAATGGTTGAGTCCCTTGGATATGTATGTCCTTGGTAGATTCGAGGCACGAACTGTTCCTCCATCTATCCTCGCACTACTCAATGAACTTACGATTTGCTGGGAGAGAACTTACTACAACCCCGGGGACTGGCTGGTGGTAGACGGTTGGTTGTTCGCCATCTCGATCAGAAAGGCATTCTTGGTGGAACATAGGGGGGGTTCTATCACGTCCATCTTTGAGATCCTCGAGGGGGCACTCTCTGTGGGAGATCAAGTCCGGAACACGACTCGACTCACCACAAGACGATGAGGAAGTATGCGTCCAGCATCAATCCTCGTCATCTGACAGTAGGTCTGTTGTGATATGAAAGGCAGAGCTTGTATTGCTAAAGTCTCTCGTGGGCAGAAGCCCACATGCTTGTGGCGCGGCACCACAATGGGCTGGCATCCTCCCCCT